CGATTTGACCCCAAAACTTCTCATTTGTATTCATCAGTCCATCAGACCTGCTGCCACTGATTTTCAGCCCTCGTGTAATCTGGCGTACCTCAGCCTTTCCTCCTGGATCCTTTCCTTAAGAATGGCTTCGTGAAAACCACCTTCCACTGAGAGCATTTCTGATGAGGCTTCAGTGAACAGTAGATGGATCAACTGCAGAGACAGATGCATCTCTTGAGTCCTGTTTCAAGTCTTTGCTGTATTTTCTTCTTAAGGGCATGACTTTCAGATCCGTTCACCTGCTGCAGATCAATTCTAAATTCAAGCTCGACACTTCTTCTTTTGTCTTCCACTTGTCCAGTTCTCTCTAAAGATTTAAGAACACACTGGACACTATGCTGAGCTATGCCAAGTTCCTTTTTGGCTAATAGCTCTTTGAGAATCACCTTGCTGTTAAAAAATACTATTTTATGCCTGTCGAACTGAGTTATCTTTGGCATTTTTCATAGATTCAGCTAAAGAAATTGGAACAAAAGATGTTTTGTTTTTTTGTGAGAGGCTGCTAAGATGCAGTTTAGTCCTTTACTGAGTTTTTTCTGTTATATGTAAACACACAACAATGTGCACCACTGCTCATTCCTTGTGTTTGGTGCCTTTTTTTGTGCCTGAATGATTCAAAACTTTGTGTTAAGTGACTTAACATAAAAACATTCCTGTGAAAATGATCAGGTACAAGGACTGGACTGAAAATGAGTGGAAAAAGCAAGAAAAGAAAAACTAAAAGTATTACTCCAGACCAGCGGCCCCCAACCTTTTTTGCGCCACGGACCGGTTTATGCCCGACAATATTTTCATGGACCGGCCTTTAAGGTGTCGCGGATAAATACAACAAAATAAAACTAGTACCGGTACCGAAAAAAAGAAGATTTATTCATAACACACGTGAAAAGACCCAGGAAAACCGAGTAAACGATAAAAACGATAACAAAATAACGCTGAAAACCGATAAAAACCCTGAAAACTATACATTTCACACCTGAGCCTCAACTCTCGCGGCCCGGTACCAAACGACTCATGGACCGGTACCGGGGACCGCTGCTCCAGTCCACTTAAAAATTACAGGTGGCCCTGTAGTGTAGCAGTTATACATTTGCAAATGAAAACAAACAAATGATTCCCAGTTTGATCCTGGGATAAGACATCAATCCATTTGGGGGAAGCATCAGGAAAAAAGCCAAGTGTAAAAAGTCCAACCAATCAAAATATGCAGAGCTACCCGCTGTGTCAACCTCTTGGGAATAAAGGAGCTTATAAAAACTGACCAGTCTGGCTCCTTGGATGCAAACAGTACTGTGCAGGTGGACAGGACCCTCTGTTTCTCGCAGTAACTGAGTCAAATACTGTTGTGGTATTTGAGTTGATGTTACGTTTTCGAAGGCGACTCTGAACGACTCATGCAAACTTTTTTTCTCTCCTGTATCTGCCTTATTTAACTTTTGAACTGTAGCCTGTAGTTTAGGGTGTCAAACAGCCATCCACTGCTGGGGTTGGTTTCCAGGCTAAACACATAATTAGCTGCTCAGCTGCAGCGCTTTTAACAGCATTTAAATGTAAATGCAAATGTCACTCGGGTCTGGTTAGATGCTGGTGTGGTCGTCACTCTTCACAAATACACTGTCTGCCCGTGACACAGGAGAACAGCTTTCTTTACTTTGGCGCTCGCTCCCTGCTGCAGCGCTGACACTTTGGCAGCAGCTGGCGGGACGCCAATCAAACGCAGACCCTGACGCACCCCCTCCAGTCAGCTGAGAGGAGGAGGACCTTTTTTTTTTCTTGCCTTAAATTGTACAAAACACTCAACAATAAACACAAAGTCAGACTTTTTTGTGATGACTAAGTGGGAGTGGGGTGACTAAATATGCTTTTAGCTTTCAGAGCCTGAGCACAACCCAACCACGACATCAAGTTCAGGCTAATTACTGCAGATGAGTGTAAACAAAAAAAATGCTGTGAAGTAGCTTAATGGCCTGCCACGAGTCTGGGAAGTCGAGGTGTGGATAACTTTGTCTCTTATGCTGACCTGAGACAGTTATGTTATAATTGAGCGAGAACCATTAAGTCAAAATCTGTAGGTGTTGAAATGGAAAGTGAAAAGAAAAAACACAAACAAACAGGCAAATTCAAGTGTAACTAAGTGCAAACACTTAATTTAAGTGCTGCTGTACTCTAATGCTTTTCAACTTCCTGTCCATTCGATATCTATGTGGGTTAACCTCCAAGTGATATTACATTTCACAGCAGAGGCCGTGCTGGACAGGTGACACTCCTGACCCGCCACTTGCCTCAGAAATGAGAGCGCGTGTGCATCAGCTATTTGTTGTTCTGTGTTGACCTGTAGATGCACTGACGTCTGTGCGTGTGGAGACAGAGGACAGAGGCAGTTTTATTTAGAGCTGTAACAGCAGCTAACCTTACAGATTCTTGTGCCCTTTCTACCTCGCCCTCCCCGTTCCTGTCAACAGAAGAGTTGCAGGGCGTGACCTTGAGGCCCTCTGGCCTTCGCCTTGGCCCCCGCAACCAGACGAGAGCAGGGGCAGTGACTGTCTGGCTCTGCGACCCTGCCGCGCCATCCAAAAATACCCCCGCCCCCCCTTGCAATGGGACTGCACTGTTCAGTCCTGACCTTTCTACCCGTCACTCCCCTCATCCCCATCCCCACTGATTGCTCCATCCCTTTCTCCCCCTACCTGTGTGTGGTCCAGGCAGCTTTGCAGCCAGAGTCCAGCCTGGATTTTTTTTCTGTCTTTCTTTTTTGAGCTAAACCCAGATGACCCAGTTTCGGGGCCCTAAGCCGACCTCTTCGGCTTGGAGAGTACAAAAGCGACTGGGAGCTGTTTGAGAGGTGGATGGTTCAGATGAGATAAGGAAGCACACTCTGGTGCAAAACACAGATGGCAAGGCTTCAAATCTGCTCTTAATCCACTATTCCAAATGACATGGAGGGAAAAGAGCAGCGTGGTTTATTCTGTAATTATGACTGCCTGAGCGAGGTGTCCGGAAACACAGCTGCCCTCCTTTTTCTTTCAACCGAAGCTTTAAAAGTGGAGCTTGTAGTGGTCTGTGTGCATTCGAATAACAAAAGTGACCTTTCTTATCAGACAAATATTGCCTGTTTACTGCCTGTGTATGACATGGGGTTTGTGTGTG